ACAATTGCCTGTAGCTTCTCAGAGAAAAGTCACTCATCTCTGTTATCCAAACTGTTTTCATAGACTCAAAGTGATGGGAAGCTGTTTTAAGAATTCTTTCTTTTTTAAGTTTAATTTTTGAGTGAGGCAGAGATGGTTCCTTCTATTGATGAAAATTAAAAAGAGCAATTCTCAGTGGCAAGTCTACCACCTAAAGCATGCAGAACTTATTATGTGCCTTTTTGGGGAACTCCCTACTAAGACCCGTAAAATGTCATAGAGTTTGGTAATGTCAAGGAAAGTGACTCACGAGTCAAGGAGACATCGTGACCTACCTCTACAGATCTAACACAGATCACTCTGAAAAGGGAAAAAAATGTATTTCGGTTTCCATTATATAAAAGTTATTTCTAAAATTTACTGAACACTGTGAAAAAAATATTTTGATAAGCTCTATGGAAAATATAGAAATTAGAAATAAGGATGCAGCTAAGATTTAGTGGATTGATCCTTTAGCCCATGAACTTGAGGCATATTATCATATTGAACAATTAGCATCACTGCCATGTAGGTGTTATCATGTTATTACTATTAGAAGTAAATCTCAGAGAATTTACATCTGCTTCCAAAAGTTGCTATGTGGAATGAAAGTAAAGTTAGGAATATAAAACTAGGGTCTGTAGAAATCCAAAACCTTAGTCAAAACAATGTTATAAAATAAGACAATCACAGTCTCTGGAATCAGGGGTTAGAATCCTATTGATATAACTCATAGCTTGAGTGAGCTTGGACAAAGTGTTAAGTTACTTTGAGCTGACAGAAGCTGCTTCATGTGCTTTTTAAACAGTGTAAGAATGCATGAGACATCTTGGAGGATAAATGTACAATAAAACTTAACATTCTTATCCATAGAGGTAGTGTAATTTCCAAGAAGACCCATTCTTGTTCTTAAGGATCTTGTAATTTAGGATTAGAACAAATTTAATTATCACAATACACAATGGCAACTTACGCAGCAATAAAACAAAAGTGAATAACAAAGACAGAAGAATAAAGCCTTCTGTGGAGACTAAAAAAGACAAAGATAAATTCTAGCCTGATAATGGGTCAGAAACTCTTTGAAAAAGAAATTGACTTGAGAGGAGCATTCCAAAATTAAATAAAAGAAAAGTTCATCAGGTAATGAAGGTGGGATGGAGGAAAACTCCAGGTCTAGGAAAAAAACCTGAATATAGAACTAGCTTTTAAAAAGGTTTTGAGAAAATGTGTCATATAAAAATTCCACCAGTATCTATAAAATAATCAGTGGAAATCAAGTTTGGAAATATTAATTGGGAGAGTATGAGAGGAACCTTGATGCCAGTTTGTGCTGTGGCAGACTGTTTAGCATTACATTCAGCATTACATCATAGAGGAAATGCAGTTTGGCATTAAGAATCACATCTAGAGTTCATTGCTTGAGATTTGTGTTTTCTGATTTTAATGCTTATTTGTTGACAAATATGTGATAGTAGCTAATATTAAGATGTTAAAATAGCACTACTTAATTTAACAATATTTTCCCAGACATATGTCACACAAATTAATTTTATGAGTTTATGGGTGCTTTGATAAGCATTTTGTAAAGGAAAATTTTTGCTAATTTATTTGTATTTTAGTAAAAGTATATGTTTCCAAGAAAATTTAAACTGTGGAACACATTTTTTAAATCAAAACTTGATTATCTCCAAGGACTTAGTGGTCCTGTATTCTATCTAGTCCTACTGTCTCTCCAACCAGCTCCATGAGCTTGCCTGTGATGAAAGTTCTGGAAGTCTTTGTTCCAATATCTCCAAACAAACTGCACTGATGTCCCTGGTCATTTGTGGCCAAATTATTATATGATTGCAGTTACATTAAAGACACTTCTGACAAGGATAAGAAAGTTAGAAATTAGATTATACAAATCAGAGAAATTGAGGGGGCATTAAACTGGGGTATAAAATTAATTTATTTAAAAATAGATACTTTCACTTTGAAAAGACGATAGCATCAATTTTCCCTTTTAAAAGAAGTTGGAAATATTTCATAACTTTCATATTAAAAATATTCTATAGCCCATAAATACTTTCATTATTTACTAGGAAAAAGTTAAAGAATTTTCCACTTTTGTCATTTTTATGCTTCCTTCTTATACTTTGATATAACATATTAAAGCAGTACTCCCCAAACTATAACATACATACAAATGATCTGGGATCTTTTGGAAAAGGAGATTCTGAATTGGTAGGTTGAATATAACACTGAGATTTTGCATTCCTTTTTTTTAAATATTTTGTTCATTTATTTTTAGAGAGGGAAGGGAGGGAGATAGAGAGAGAGAAAGAAACATCAATGTGGGGTTTCTGGGGGTTATGGCCTGCAACCCAGGCATGTACGCTGGCTGGGAATCAAACCTGCAACACTTTGGTTCACAGCCCGCACTCAATCCACTGAGCTATGCCAGCCAGGGCTGAGATTTTGCATTTCTAACAAGCTCTTAGGTGATGCTTCTGCTGTTATTTAAGGGCCAAATTGCACGTAGTGAGATTCTGAAAGACTTCTCAAGATTCGGCGTTTGCTTTGCTCTTGATGGCTTTGTTGCCTTCTTAGTGGCAGCTGCTGTTCATGTTTTCCAAAACTCATAATCATGATCCATCTGATCCAGTTGTTTGGGTCAAAATACCTGAAATTGCCCCTTCTCTTTGGTCTTGTTGGAACCACATTGAACATTCAGAATATGACCATTTCTACCTGCTAGCAGTAATTCTTACAGCACCATGTGCTACCATGTTGATCCAAGTCCTTTCAGTTTCTTCTTGAATTATTATAATAGTTTCTTAACGAACTCCATGAGCATACCCTTGACCTCCACAGTCTGTTCTCAATATAGAATACTGGGTGAAACCTCTGAAATCTAAGTCATATCATGTCACTCTTTTGCTAAAAAGTATCACTGCACCCATTTCAGTCAAAATAAAGGTAATTTACCTTACAATGCCTTCTAAGTTCATATCAACATATAATCTTATTTTCCATTACCTTTATGAACTTATCTTCTGCTATGTCATCCCCTACTCTAGCCACATGGACCTCTTTGGTTTTTCTTGACATGATGGACATAATCCTTTTGCTATTCACACAGCTAATTTTTCTTTTACCATAAATCTTTTTTAGATATAACTTTCTCAATAAGGCTAATTATGACCACTGAATTAAAAATTGTTTCTTCCAGCCAGTCCTGATTCCCCTTTCTATAGTTTTTTATCACATTTTCTTCAAATTCCTCACATTCTACATGATCTATTTATTCAGAATGTTCATTGATTATTAAAAATCTGTTTAGTCCAGTAGAATATAAAGTGCTCAAGGGGAGGTGTTTTTGCCTTTATTTTATTTATTCTATCCACCACTGATTTAATCTAAGTAATTCAACAATGCCTGGCATAAATTGGGTACTCATCAAGTATATGTTGAATGAAATCAATATATTTATGATATGGGAACCTAAGCAGAAGTTTTCTTGACATCACTGAGGCAGATGTTAGATATCAACAGTTACTCATGAAAATAATAGGAGGTGAAAATACTGAGATAGCTTATGATTCAAAAGAAACATGCTCAAGAGAAGCAATATTGCTTCCACTATTTACTAGGAAAAAAGTTAAAGAATTTTCCACTTTTGTCAATTTTATGCTTCCTTCTTGTGCTTTGATATGACATATTCAGCAGTACTCCCCAAACTGTAACATATATATACATTACCTGGGACATGGTTTATGTCTATTTCTGCATTTAATGTGATTGGAATTTTGATAGAGATTATATTGATCTACAGATTGCTGTGAGTAGTACAGTCATTTTAACAATATTGATTTTTCCTATCCAAGAAAATGGTCTATCATTCCACTTACTCATACTCTAATTTTTTTCCATCAAAATATTGTAGTTTTTTCTTCATTTACCTTTATTATATTTTTTCATTACCATTTAGTCCCTTATATCCCCTTCCCCCAGCAATCACCACACTGTTGTCCACGTCCATGAGCCTTTTTTTCCTTTTTGCTTAATCCCTCCACCCCCTAACTTCCTGTCCCACTAGCTGTCATCTGTTCTCCACCTATGAGCCTGTCTCTGTTTTGCTTGTTAGTTCAGTTTGTTTGTTAGATTCACATATGAGTGAAATCATATGGTATTGTCTTTTTTAACTGGCTTATTTCACTTAGCATGATGTTCTCCAGGTCCGTCCATGCTGTCACAAAGGGCAAAATTTTCTTCTTTTTTATGGCCAATGAGAAATCCATTATGTAAATGTTCCATAGTTGCTTTATCCACTCATCCATTAATGGACACTTGGACTGTTTCCTTATCTTGGGAATTGTAAATAATGCTGCAATGAACATGGGGGTGCTTATGTTCTTTCGAATTAGTGTTTTGGATTCCTTCAGATATATTCCCAGAAATGGGATTGCTGGGTCAAAAGGCAGATTCATTTTAAATTTTTTGAGGCATCTTCATACTGCTTTCCACAGTGGTTCCAGCAGTTTGCATTCCCACCAACAGTGCACTAAGGTTCCCTTTCTCCACATCCTTGCCAGCACTTGTTTGTTGATTTATTGATGATGGCCAATCTGACAGGTGTGAGATGGTGTCTCATTGTTGTCTTTGTTTACATTTCTCTGTGTATTTAGTGATATAGATCACCTTTTCATATGTCTATTGGCCAGCTGTATGCCTGTGTTTGGAGAAGTGTTTATTCAGACCCTTTGCCCATTTTTTAACTGAGTTGTTGCTTTTTCTGCTGTTGAGTTTTGTAAGGACTTTATACATTTTGGATATTAACCTTTTATCAGATGTATTGGTGAATATGTTCTCCCATTCTGTGGGTTGTCTTTTTATTTTGTTGGTGATTTCCTTTACTGTGTAAAATCTTTTTAGTTTGATAAAGTCCCCTTTGTTTCTTTTTTGTTTGTTTCCTTTGCTTGTGGAGATACATACAATAAAAAATTTCTTGGCCTTTTGGCTTTAATCAAGTGTAGTATCTGTTCTTATCAGTTTACTATTGTAGTTTTTATTGTATAGATCTTTCACATTTTTGTTAAAGCTATCCCTAAGTATTGTATTGTTTATGATGTTATTGTGAATGGAGTTTTGTGCGGGACCACTCTGCGTGGGATTGGAGACTGTAGCCCCAGGAGAGCAGGCTTTGAGAGAGGTCAGTAAGTCTCCCTGGAAAACCAGGAAACACAGGCTGCAGCCATGACCCAACACTAACACCAAGGACTCCCCTGGGAAATGAGGCTTGACGTATACATTGTATCCTTTGAAGCTTGCTTTGATTTGTATGTTGATATAAACCAGATGATTAGCCCTGGCTGACATAGCTCAGTGGATTGAGTATGGGCTGCGAACCAAAGCATCGTAGGTTCGATTCCCAGTCAGGGCACATGCCTGGGTTGCAGGCCGTGGTCCCCAGCAACCACACATTGATGTCTCCCTCTCTCTTTCTTTCTCCCTCCCTTCTATCTCTAAAAATAAATAAATTAAATTAAAAAAGAGTCACATCTTAAAAAATAAACCAGATGATTAAGTTCAAAGCATAAGGAGAGAACTCCTTGCATCACGAAATACACCTTCACAACCATCTGGCATCAGCATGTCTCACAGACTCTGACCTATGACAAATCTCTGTGTTTCTTCCATTGTTATCTATAAGATAATATTTGTTTTCTACAACTGTAGCCTTTTGGATGTTGATTGATAAGCAATATATGTATCCTATTCTGCACATTCTGATCCTAATAAAAGCTGTTTCAGAGAAGGGCTTGGGGCATTCCCCACTAGAAGGAATCGCCAACCCCTTTCCCACCAGAACAACAAGATTGTGTTCAGGACAACTTATTCTCATGCGCAGAGGCCGGGAGAGTTCCTTGGGAAGGAGTTCTCCCACATCTGGTGCCCAAACAGGGACTTAAACCCTTGATCTTCAGATGGGATCTCAGTTGGACCTCTGGGGCTAGATAGGAGAAAGAGTGGGAGAAAGTAATGGGGAAGCTAAGGGCCATAGCTAATGGCTACTGCATAACTCCACAGGGTTTGAAATTTCTAATTAAAACTTTGGCAACACCAGTTTACTAATTTATTTGCTACTTTAAAAGAGATGCCAAATTAACCTCACTGAGGTGTCTCTCCCTGTTCACTTGAGCTGAGCTAAGTCTTGTCAATCAAGCAATTCAAAGTAGATAGTTAACCCCCAAATTTGAAATCACTGAATAGCTTTTCCTCCCTACCAACCACAAAGGACATGTTGATTTACTGGCTTGGGGAAGAGGATATGCTTGTGTTTTCTCTTCAGAAGGACTCCTGGAGCTGCTGGCAAAGAGGGTGAAACTATATCATAGAAAATGTTACTCCACTCTGCAACACACCTCTGTTCCACAGGACTCCCTCGATCCAGAAGGAAATAGTACAGATAACGGAATGCTTTTGTCACTTGCCAACAACTCACTTGTGATCCCAGCTTCTCTAAGTTGTGTGTTAGCCGCCTAAAGTGGAACTCCAGTCAGCACTTGTGGAAGGAGGTCCGACATCACTTGCAAAGGGCCTTTTCCTCCAATCTCAAGGGATAAATTGATCAACTACAGCTTGGGCTACATCAACAACTACAGGACATTAAGCACCTCACTTAGCAGGAGGTCTTTCAGACCCTGCATGACAACTTACAATGGCTCAGTTCAAGGACTTGGTTTCAAGGGTTTAATTTACATGTCTGGGTCATGGGGACTATAGGATGCTTCCTAATCATTGTGGTCTTTTGTGATTTGAAATGTATTGCAAATTGTTTTCCAGGGATCGTATATATGAAAAGCAAGTAGCAGGCATCATTGGACTTACCACCATGTCCACCATAACAAACAGACAAGGGGGACACATAGGGGACCACTCCGTGTGGTTTCAGAGACTGCAGCCCTGTGAGGGCAGGCCTTGTGGGCGTTCCTCACTAGGGGATTCATCACCCGCTTTCCCACCGGAACAACAAGATTGTGTCCAGGACAACTCATTCTCATCTGCAGCAGCGGGAGAGCTCCTCGGGACAGAGTTCTCCCATGGTTTTAGTTTCTTTGTAGTGAAAGCCCATTGGAGATTTAATTTGCATTTTCTTGATTACTAATGTGGTTGATCATATTTTTATGAATTTTATCACCATATGTATAGATTCTTTTGTTGTCTTTGTTGACAATGTTTGCTCATTTTAATTGAATTATCTTTTTGTTATTCACTTTAAGAAGTTATACACCAGCCCTGGCTGGAGTAGCTCAGTGAATTGAGTACGGGCTGCGAACCAAAGCATCGTAGTTTTGATTCCCAGTCAGGGCACATGCCTGGGTTGCAGATCACGGCCCCCAGCAAGCGCACATTGATGTTTCTCTCTGTCTTTCTCCCTCCCTTCCCTCTCTAAAAATAAATAAATAAAATCTTAAAAAAAGAAGTTATGCACCTTTTATACTATTTTTGTTCAACATGATTTACACAAATTAATCCCTTGATAACATCTTTTGATAGCCAAAATTGTTTATTTCAATAACATCTAATTTATCACTTGTACATTGTCTTTTACAGTCATTACTTCATTTACACTTTCCAAAGTACCTACATTTATATCATAATCTCACCTGTATTCTTCTAAAACTTATGTGATTTCATTGTTTTGTTTTTGTTTTAGTGTTTAGGTCTATTATCTATCTCAACTTACTTTTTTGCATATGGTTTGATTTTTTTCCTTTATGGATCCACTTGTTACAGTGTTATACATTAGAAAAACTTTTCTTTCTTGATTGAGATTGCTTTCACATCTTTGTTGAAAAGTAAATGACCATATAAACTGTGTCTATTTTTTGAGCTTTCTATTACATTTAGTTGGTATGTCTGTAAATTTTAAGGCTAGAGCCATGTGTCATTGATTATTGTGTCTGAAAGTATAAGTACTGTAGTGAAAGTCAGCAAATATTGTTCTTATTAGTTATTGGCTGGGGTAGTCTAGGTTCTAGAGTGTCTAAATCCATTTTAGTAGCAGTTTTTCAATTTTAAAAAATGGGAAATTTTTATTGAGATTCCACTGAATTTATAGATCCCTTTGGAAAGGATGGTCATCTTAACAATATTGAGTCAATTTATGGATAATTTATGGGTAATAAAAGATCATTTATGTATATGTTCTTCAACATTTCTTAGAAGTTAAAACACAGCACATGTTTGAATATTTTTTGCTAAATTTAATCATCAATATTTTAATATGATGGTAATTTTAAATTGTTACATTTTAATTGCATAGTGCTGAAGAATAAAATTAGTATATATTGATTTCATATTCAGCAGCATTGCTAAACATCCTTCAGATTCCATAATTTATTTACATCATCCTTAAGACTTTGTTCCAGCCCTGGCTGGCATAGCTCAGTGGATTGAGCACGGGCTGTGAACCAAAGTGTCACAGGTTCGATTCCCTGTCAGGGCACATGCCTGGGTTGCACACCACGGCCCCCAGCAACTGCACATTGATGTTTCTCTTCTCTCTCTCTCTCTCTCTCTCTCTCTCTCTCTCTCTCTCTCTCTCTCTCCCTTCCCTCTCTAAAAGTAAATAAATAAAATCTAAAAAAAAAAGACTTTTGTTCCTCTTCTCCTTCTCCTTTTTTTAACCTCCTCTTCCTTAGGTATGGAAGCCAGTGTAGGCTTTCCTGAGAAAGTGATTATTGAACTAAGGTCTGGCAGAAAGTAAGATTCAAACAGACAAAATTTATGTGCCCCAGATGAGCAGGGCCAGGCAAAATTCCAGTCTTTGTCCTTAGAGCGAGGGATATCAAAGTGATCACTGTTGTTAGCTTTCACAACATTCACAGGCTGAGAGTCTGAGTTCCTCGAGTTTTTGGTTAATTAAGAATCTCTTTCTCTTATTTGAATCATGTAGATTTATTTGATGCTAATGAGAAGGTAGTTAACAATTTGATGGGGTATGCAACATATATGAATTCTTATTTCTTTTGGGTAATATTTTAAATCATATTGTTAAGTACAAAGCTGAATGCAATTATAATGTATCTAGAATAAACCATGAGTGGCTGTAATATTTTTCAAAATCACAGTTTATGAACTCACTGGGGCATGGTCTTATCTTTTTTAATACTCTTAAGGCAGCCAACTCATCTTGTAAGAATATGAATTATATACATTGTTTTGGTGGAATCTCAGAGATATAATCTTATAGTCATATACAATCAAAATTGACCTATTGTAAAATGTATTTAAAAATGCATTACTTATTTCTGAAATGTTAGCTTAGGTGCATGAATATTACCAATCTTTATATTCAGAAAAATTGAATAAAATTTATGATTGATAAATTGTTTAATACTTCAAACTCATCTAGATTCTTCTTTCAGTCTGAGGGAAGTGTGTCCTGTTGAGAAGCATCAGATGAAATCCAGCTGTATTTTAATCCCATCTCAATCTAACATCACAGGAAATATTGACTATTTTTCCCTCAGACATGCAGCTGTCAACTATTCAACTATGAGTTTGGATTTACATTATAGTTTTATTTTCTACCTATTCATTTCCATCTCAAATACTTGTTCCATGAAACAGCTTTTAGTGTCTGAAAGAGGAAAGCAGGATGTGTGGTCTCATCAAACACTTCAGTGAATGTTTATGGGCACAGAAAATAATATTTGCTAAATTCAAGGGAATATATCTCTACTTAAGATGTGTTACTATCATTAAACATTCAAGTGCCTTATTAATGTCATTATTCACCAATCCAGTAAGAAGATTTCCTCTGTGTGCCAATAGTTATAAGACTCCCCTACCCTATCCCCTGAACCTGCTACATTTTCAAATGCCCACAAAGTGTGTGCACTCATTTGGAAAGTAAGTCAATATACAAAAGCCTCTGGATAGTTGTGTAGACTTTAAGATCTTTGGAAAAGTTAAGCAGCCTTCATTCTCAGAAGCAGAAGGGATATATTAGTGAGGATAGGGAAGGATGCAGTGATAATTCAATCCAAATGTAATGGTTCAGCAGAATAAAACAGTCTTTGTCCTGAAACAACTCTTAGTGAATAGTCAGGCTGATGGGACCAGTCTCTTCTGTGTGATTTTTCAAGAATTCTAGTTCTCTTTGTCTTATAGCTCACCCAT